GGGAGGAGATCCTCGCGTGAGGAGATCCTCGGGAGGAAAACCTCAGGAGGAGAACATCAGGAGGAGAACCTCGGGAGGAGGACCTGAGGAGGAGAACCTAAGGAGGAAAACCTCAGGAGGAGAACCTCAGCAGAAGAACCTGAGGAGAAGAACCTCAGGAAGAGAACCTGAGGAGGAGAACCTGAGGAGGAAAACCTCGGGAGGAGATCCTCGGGAGGAAAGGGAGGAGAACCTCGGGAGTAGAACCTGAGGAGGAAAACCTCGGGAGGAGATCCTCGGGAGGAAAGGGAGGAGAACCTCGGGAGTAGAACCTGAGGAGGAAAACCTCGGGAGGAGAACCTCGGGAGGAGAACCTGAGGAGGAGAACCTGAGGAGGAGAACCTCCGGTGTCACCTTCAAAGACCCATCTCCTTCTGCTGCTGCTCCAGACGGTAGAGCCTCATTTCTGCTATCTCACATGCTGTACATAAAAAGGTACAACAGTTTCAAACGTCATTAAGCGATTCAACCACAAGGGGGCAGTACTGACTTCAGAGATCATTGACAGTTTCTCACACAAAGTCAGGGAGACAATGGAGGACATGTGATAATGTTCCTGCTCAGAAAGAGCTCCAAACAGAGGACGAGCAGGAGACGGAGGAGGTGGTCGGTGTGATCTGATTGGCTGATTGGCCTGGGACTGAGAGAACTCAACCACAGAGCCACGAAAATATGACTTTACAGTTCGTCATACTTGAATCATCAGTGGCATGTAGCACACATGTATCACCACAATAGAACTGCTGTAACACCAATCTCCCAGCAGATGGCAGCACAAACAGCTGGGCTGTCACACAGGGCTTTGTGTGATCAGACTTTCAAAGCTGTTGCTGATGAAAATTCAACTAAATCACATCACACAGCTCAACACCGCCCCCCCACGACTTCCAGCGGTACTGCTCTATGGTACGCACCTGCACGGAAAGGTTACTATTTACACTGTGTAGGAAATATAAACACAACACAACTCACTCAGCAGTGAATCCATGGCTGTGGCAGAACTGAGTTCCTAACAGTGCAAGACAGGAAGAGTGCACGACGCATATCTGAGTGCGTAATTAGGAGCAGGGTTCACTCATGTCTGGTTAGGACGCCCCATCCATTTCATCAGCTAAGTGCTAATATATCACATGAATCACAGACACTGACAGGGAAATGTGATTAGACCCTGGGGACAAGGGCATCTCTGTCCTCCCAGCTAGAGAAGATAGAGAGAGGGAGAGAGGGAGAGAAAGAAAGAGAGAGAGGGAGAGAGAGAGAGAGAGATGCAGGGATTGGATTGGTCTGTATGTGTATAGAACATTAAAGGAAGAGCTGAGGTCTCTGTTATCATGTTGCTCTCTAGAACTTAAAAGATTCCCACTGAACCTTTTAGTCATTTAGCTAATGAAACGGCTGCTGCTGCTGCCATCTTTCTTCTGAACACGTACTGGCCTTCGTGCATTTCCCGATAGTGTGGCCCAACATGGGCTCCCCGCACTACAGAGGCCTCACGTCTTCAGGTAACACTATATATATATATATATATATATATATATATATATATATATGTATATATATACACACACATACATATGTAGATATGTATATGTATATATACACACACATATATCCATATACATACATATATGTGTATATATATATAGTATATATATATATATAGCATATACATATATACGTATATTGTATATACATATATACATATATTTGTACTGTGTGTACTGTATATTTGTCTCAAAACCGCTGACACGTGTTGAAGTACCAGTGAGGACCAGTGAGGACCAGTGAGGACGTACCTACGACCCTGTCTCCAGTCTTGACTCCCATCCTCCTCATGGCGGCGGCAAACATGGCTACGTCACGTCGGAGCTGACCAAAGGTCACCTTCACGATCTCCTCGCCGCCCTCTCCTGGAAGACGGACACAAAGACAAGATTAGATTATATGAGATGATATGAGAACGACAGTTGATGAATGAACGACTGAGAAGGAACGAACGTTAGAACACATAACCACTGATGGAGAACTGGAACTGGACCACGACCTCACTCTGGTCCACGCACCAGGTGGACTGTGGACCATTCAGTGAAAAACCTCACTCTGCTTTAGGAAAATACACACGGTAATGAAGAAAGGGTCTGTTCACCCCAGCAGGAACACACACACATACACAGACAAGTGACCAGTGTGGACTTGTTTTTTCCCTAACTAAATTGCCTCCTTAACGTCCCCACCTTCTCCCTCACCCTCTTCCTCACCCTCTTCCTCACCCTGACCCCCAGCACACCCGTTATTCACACCACTCTTCACACTCACCCCAGTCAGTCACTATTTTGAATCTCATTTACACCGGTGATCATCAACTTCCAGCTCGTGGGCCGAATGTGGCCCACCCACCTGTCCAATCTGGCCCGTGATTATTCCAAATTTGGAAAAATACATTATTTTATTACTGCTTTCTAACACTTTTTCATGCTCATATGATTTTGTATTTTGTAACAATTTCACAGATTGTTGCCATACTTGCCATAAAGATTGTGATTGTTTGTCCAAAAAATAGTTAATTAAATAAATAATAATACTGATACTTTAATACTTTAAAAGTCTTTTAGTGGTCAAAGTTCTGAGATCAGTAAAACAACAGTGTATTCACTTCACTCTGTGTACTGTATAATACTCAGTGTGATCAGTGCCGTGTTCTTACTGGCAGCATAGAGAGCCACTTTATCCTGGTCTGAGTGTTTGAGCAGGTTCTCGGCGTAGTTGAGTCGAGCTCCTTTGAACCACTCCGGTACGTCCGAGATCCGCTTGGACGCATCAATCACCTGGTGGACACCAATAAAAAAAAAACACACACCAGAGACAACAGTTACAAATCATGTGATCGTCTCAGGAGACGTGGCAAAATGATTAAAAAATATATATATATATGTTTGTTTTTTTTAAGGTGGAGTCAGCTGGCGTGTGCTTATCGTTGACTAAAACAATCAATAAGACAATTAAGCCTTGTGGCGAGGTGACCCGTGAGGGAATGATGTCTGAATATGTGACCAGTGTATGACGTGTAATATGTTTGTAGTGTTGACAGAAGGTGCGACTGAACGAGGCCGAGTGACAACACGAGAGTTCACACACCCACAGTGAGAGGCTACATCCTGGAGCGAGGAACCCTACTGCAGTTCTTCATTCATTAATCCTCTTAACATTTAATCCTTTTACAAACGCCTGCGTCCGAGGGCAGAACTACAGGCTGCAGAATTTGACACTCGTCAAACAACAGATCAGGTTTATCAGACTTTGATCAACTATAAATATTGTATTAAATGGTTTTATTTTACATTAACTCTGGCCTAGTGCTACATTGGAAATACTTCTTAATATATTTAGCAAAAGTACCTTACTATTCACATAATACACATGTTCATATACTCATGGTTTGGGGTTTAAGAAAAGTGCAAAATATAACCAAAATTTTACGACGTCCTCCCAAACAGTACCTCAGAAGACACCATAGGGGTCTCGTACCCTATGTTGAAGACCATTGTTTTTAAGCATACGTTTGAGCAAAAAGGCAACGCAATAATAATGTAGTACAGCATTAAACCTACAGTTTAAGGTTAAGCTAAATTCAAATATAACATATTTTGGTTCGGCTCATTCTTTAATGCACTGTAGTGACTAGTCAAGTCCGAAAAAAAAATCTCCTAGATAAACAACCAAGAAAAAAACCCAAAGGAAACCATTGACGCGGTTGATCAAACTCCTGGACTAGTCAAACCAACTGTGTCGATTATGACGAAGATGGAAAATAAACTGGTGGAAAGCGTCGTAACTTCACGACGTTGACCCGTACGCTCAAGTATGATCTCTCAAATCATCAGCCCTGTCACTATAGTACCGTACTAGTGTACCTCGTGTATTTAAGCATTACTGACAGTCGATGGAAATATGTGTGTTGATATTCGATGACGATGAAGCAGACGGAGGAGACTCACCTCCTCATAAGGTTTGGAGCTGAGCACGCCACAGGAGCGCCAAACTTCAGCCCAGAACTCTGGGTAGTAGTCCACCGACCACTGGTACAGGTCCGAGTAGTTGGCTGGAGAAATAAAAGTACCATGTCAAAAAAAAGTATATGTCAATGGTAAACTCACAAATAATCACATATTAACTGTACATCCTTCAGGTGGTCTGAATGTACCTGAAGAAGAATATTTTTCAAGTTCTGAATACTCTGTAAATACTATATATTATATAGGATATAATATAAGTACGATAAGGACAAATGTGTTTGCTTTTTGTAAATATCTGTTTATCGTCATGGTAATAACCCAGAATATTGCAGAATATTCTCCAGAAAAACCTAAGAGGTTGAAATATATTGCAATATACTATCATGTGGACCCAGTTGCTAAAAGCCAAAAATATGGCCTGGACCTGGGCAGAGGTTAATTCACTGTTGTGTTTTGACATGCAGTGATGGCTCAATGATTACAAGGAAATACAAGACGCTGCTGAAACGTAACAGGGAAATAGATTTCCTGTGATAAAGGTTACTTAAATGTCACTCTTTTATTTAATATGAAAAACAGTTAGTTTCATTAAGTTGTTTTTTTTACAAATATATATTTGTATATGTGTATGTATGTATATAAGAAATATGCGTGTGCTATAGATACATAGATACATAAATACTTGCCATAAAACTTTTAAAAAAATCAATGAATTTATTAAATTAAAATTGAAAAATATTATAACAATGACATAATGAATGTTGAGTTTTGAGGATAATTATGTTAAAATGTATTTCATTAACTCATCTGCCCTTTTATATGTAAATATACTTAGTAGCCTAACTGAAGAAGTTTGACGTCATTTGTCAGTTGAAAAACATGAAATAACCTAAAATGAATGTTATGTAACATAAGTGTAAGGTTTCTTTTTGAATTCAACAACTTTGTGATTCTTTTTGATTCAACAACTTTCAATATAATACACAATTGAAAATAATAATTATTTCAACGACAGGTTGCGTTCAGTTGCCCAGATAAGTGTGATGCCGTATTATGCTCAAAGTGTCGCAGCAAAATAGGACGCTCCATTCAATCCCATAAAATGACACGTCCGGTACAGAGACAGTCTTTAAATCCCCCTGTTCCTGCTCACGTACTCTGTCTGTGTCACTGTCTGTGTCCCTCCCTCCCTCCTTCTCTCCCTCGCTCCCTCTCCCCACAACTCACCCAGATTAAGACCGTAGTTCTCGTTGACCTGTATCCTAAACTCTTCCATCCGTGTGTTCCTCTTGGAGTCCGGGTACCAGAGCACCTTGTTCTCCATATCCATGATTTTCTCGCTTTTCCCTTCCGTGTCCTTGGACATGTCTGAGGCCTGTCTTCTGTCGGCTGCTTACTTAAACAAACAACGGTGTACCACGAGCTGTCCGCGGACCACAAGGTGCAGGTGTGCGTTGAAATCAGACCACCGGCACGGCTATGAGGGGTTATAACGGCCGTTACAACAGCGCTCGGCAGCTAGCTGGGCTCACTGTCCCACAGTAGCATGCGGCTGAAGCTGAAAACTCACAGACCACGCCCATCATTTGTGACGTAGAGGGGGGGAGCTGCGTTTAAGTTCAACATGTTTTTTTTTGGGGGGGGGTTTTTACACACTGTACTTCAAACACTACAGTCTCACGAATGTAACGTTTTATTAGTTAGTCACAGACATGTAGCCAGGACATTCCGTCCGTTATGAACTGCCTTACACTCGTGTGACGCTTCGGCTAATGCTAATGCTAAGTGCTTCGGCCTTTAATTGTCACCTGTTGCACATATGCTAAATGAACTACTGTTAAATGAACTACTGACAAATGAACAACTGTTAAATGAACCACTGACAAATGAACAACTGTTAAATGAACCACTGACAAATGAATTACTGTTAAATAAACCACCGACAAATGAACTACTGTTAAATGAACCACTGACATGAACTACTGTTAAATGAACCACC